GTTAAAGATAATACACAAAAGACTCCTACATTTAAAATGGTGACTTTTCTAGTGAAAAATTTTTACTTATTTTCAATATTTTATACATTAGAGAGCCTGGTAAATGCAATTCCTTCGCCCCAGTTAAAAAGATATTAACTTTTGAAATCCAGTATAAAAGAGAGAGCTAGGAATTTCATACAATAGGTATTTATGGCTTCAAATAGCATTATTCCTGAAAACAAAAAAATTGGGGAGAGAGGAGGCATAAAACCCAGGCATTGTATGGAGTAAAAGGTTTTTGCCTAGAAACAAAATAATGCCATGTTTCTATTTAAAGAGATAAAGGGCTTCAGAATCATGAATATTTCAGGAGTACATCATGGGCAATTTCTTCCACAGAAATGGATCCAAAGAACCCAGGACTATGGAGGTTTCCATCAGTGGAGTAAGGCAAGCCTGGGGAAGCAGGGATGCTGTCACAAGAAAAACCAACCTTTGCTGCGTAATGAAGCGCTGTGAGGTGGGTTGATGTTGCTCTCACATCTACATCAACACCAAGTTCAGAGACCAAGAATCGGATGGCTTCATCCTGCCCTGTGACTGCTGCCCTGTGCAGGGCCTGGGCGCCCAGCCTGTCCTCGGCTGAAAGGCAAACCTGATGGACAGAGGAGAGAGGAACACAGAAGCTGAGAAGCAGAGAAACCCGGGTCTCGGCACCTACTGACATTTTGGCAAAACTCGGAGGCAGCTTTTGCCTGATTCTCAGAGGACTCTCTAACCAAAAAAACGGCTAAGATTCAGTGCTCCAGGTTATATTGCCAAAAGCAGTCAGCAGAGACAGTTTGTCGTTACTACTACCAAACGGCTACTGTTTATTGAATACTTACTTTGCTAACTGCTTTATGTGCATTATTTAATTCTGGTGGGAATCTTCTAAAATTAAATTTGTGTTTTACAGATTGGAACATGGATGCTTAAAGAGGTCACAGGGGGAGGTTGGCAGAAATGGGATCTGAACCCACAATCTAAATTACAATGTGTTCTGCTTATCCTATCATCTAAAATGTGCAGGAAGAGCCAAAAGAATCAAACGAAACCATTCATACCTTGTGTTTTTCCAGGAGCAGCCGGGCCACGTCGACGTGACCACACTGAATCGCATCCATAAAGGGGGTAACGCCACAGTTATCTTTGCAGTCTGGATCATACTGGCACCTAGAGCCAAATCCCAAGTAAGAGAGCTGAGAAAATTCACCACCTCAAACCCAAAAGATAGGTGACATTTGATGACATGCAAGTAGACTGTATGCCGACAAATGACCCGGGATAGTCTGGAGTGCTCACAGAGCACAATGATCTCCCCCAGCAAACTCGCTCCTCCTTTAACTTTTTCCATCCCATTTGACGGCACCTTCCTCTCACCAGCTTATCATGCCAGAAGCCTTGAAGTCAGCCTTGCCACCACCTTCCCCTTATTCTTCATACCCAGCTGATCCCCCATCTCTCAATTCTACAGCCAAAATATTTAAGCCATCTGTCTCCTCCTCTCCACTCCACTCCCACGCCTTCAGACCGAGGCAACTGGCAGTGGCTTCCCAACCTGCTCCTCACCTCAACTCCTGCCTTGCCGAGCCGTTCTCCACAGCGACCACCGTCCTCTTTCCACACTCCAAGTGGATAAAGCCTTAAAACTGCACCCTACCCTGCACAAAGGACAAAACCTCCAATATCAGCATGACCTCCAAGGGCCAGAATAACATGGCACCTCCATCCCTCTCCAGGTCTCCTACCCGGGCTGGCCTTGCTCTTCCCTGGGCCCAGGCTGCTGAGCCCTTTCCTGCCTTCGCACTGTTGCGCCTCTGCTGGAGCAGCACTGCCCACTCCACCCTGGCTCACTCTCACTTGCACCGTAATGGGGACTTCACCAGAGGCTTTCCTCATCACCCCCATCTACACGAGGACCTTTGCTCTCATGGCATCTTGTACTTTTCGTCTGTAGTATTGCCACAGTTTGTAATTATATGGTATTTACTCGTGGGATTATTCATCTATACTTGTCTCTCACACCAGCCTATAGGCTCCATTACAGAAGGGACTGTGTTTATCACCCAGAACCTAACACACAGGAAGTGCTCAAAAAACGTTTCTTGAATGAAGGAAAGAGTATTTATAAATCTGCAGGCAACCAAGCACGTTCCCATTTGTGGCAGGCAAGCCCTACACATAGCAACACTTTCAGGCCACAGTGTTAAGTGTTCCCTTCTGGCACGCCGTCTCCTCAG